CGTGCACTGAAGCAAAATTTTAACCCATAACCAAATCAATTGAATAGTGCTTGTGCAATACAAAAAATCTTATGGTTGTTTAATTTTTTTCTTTTTTGTTTAGATCTCCATTTGTTCTATATTTTCTTGATGTTTTCCGTTTTAATTAGGATTTTTAGGAGCTGCCTATATATCTTCATTTTTACATTGTAAATTAATTACCGAGAGATTAAATCAAAGTAATGTTGCTTTCTTCTTGTTTTTCATTGAACTCAATTTCGAAATTCACAAGAATTTCATCTTTGTGGCGTTCAACAATTTCGTATCAAGGTTCATAATTTTTGTGATTAAGGGGTCAAGTTCTTTTATAACTTTAGTTCCTTGATTCAATAAATTATTGGATAAAGTTTCAAATTGGGATTTTAGCTTTATTGAGATTGTGATTCAATCTTGTGTGGGTTTCAGAGATATTATTGTTACGTGGGTATATATTCACGAAAATATATTTCGAATTAAAATCATCGCAAGTGTACGGTTCATTAAAAAATAATAAAGTGGACTTCTTGAGTCCGAGTATCGTCTCATGAAGATTGATTAGTTCAAAATTTACTATGGTGACCTTAACTGAAACAAAAATAAAATGAGTTATTTATTACGATGAACTTATAAGTAATTGACTAAACGAAATGCAATTTATTTTAAATGTACGTTGAAGTTTTCTTATAAATAATGATTGCACTAGGATCACGAATCCCTATGTAATATTCATTTTAAACCTAGTTCTATACTTTGATAACACGATTGAACTATTGACGAATCAATGCTCCTAAATTATTTAACAATATCTCTCGAGTAAAGTCAAACATGTTCTCAAATTTGACCAGACTATATCTCTATGACGGATGCGAATATACAAGAATGTATGAGTTTTTATGAACACTTAAAGATCCACATAGAGTATAACGGTATATTTATATCCTCTATCGAACCCTATGATGATTTATACCACGTCAAAGATATTTCCATTCTTTCGAATGTATGAAATAAGTCACCACACTGACACAATTACGTACACAATAACCGTGGAGAAAATAAATCTATATAAACCATTCAAATATCCAAAACGTGTTTTTGATGTCAATAACTGTAAAATTAAGAATTAAAAATCATATTGCACAGTTCATCGATCTCCTAGTACAGAATTAACCTAACCTAGATGATGGAAAGAAGAAAATCAGAAAAACAATGAAGAAACGACATCACCAATTGAATTCTTGACTTTAATCTTTGCTTCTTGGTGTTGTTATTCGCGTTATTGCTCTTTTTCTACTCTCAAAATCCTTATGCATATGTTTTTTAGGTTAAAAGGAGGTCCCCCCTTCCCCTCGCGTGTTCTGGTCGAGTTTTGTATAGATATGATGCCTAAAATCCTATTACCAAAGTAGAGTTTCAGTTGAAAAATGAAAAATGAAACAAAATCTCACCAAAAGTTTGTACGATGCAGCTGCATAGTACATTTATAAGCAGTCTCAAAGAAGGACGTCCAACCATCAATTTTGGCCTGGAATGCATAATGCAGTCGCATGAAATTAGACATATGCGGCCGCACAAGTATACGTTTTTTTCACCAAATAGCTTTCAGTATTTTGGTCATATCTTTCTCTCACGATACTCGATTGAGATGATTCAAAATAAGTTAGAAAGATAAATCAAAGGGCTACAAATCTTCGAGAAATATAATTTTTTGAATTCGAACATTTCCTATACCAAAAATGAGTCTGAAACTGAGACTGAAAATCCGAAGCAACTTTTTCGGTTGGAAGTTGATATGTGATAGTACTTGGACTATATTTCATCCTTTTGGCTTCTTTCCTCATCCAATTGATACCTGACACTCTCAAATTTTCATCGTGAGGTTCGACGTAACTTTTGATTATTTGTATATCAGTCCCCGAACTTTATATTGATACAATTGAGCCATTTTCTGCCATTTTTGCATTTGTTTCTCCAATTCTTAATCAAACATTGATTTTTACCTACAAGATGAAATATAACACAAGTTAGGTATTATTTTATCCAAAAAACAGTAAAATGTCATCATTTAGGATCTCGAATAAGTGTAGAAACTACATTTATCACACCTCCAAACTCGATTCTTTGTTTGTCCTCAAACAAAACTAAAATCTAACAAATACACAAACATACAATACTAATTATCTAATTGGTGGCTCGTCAATCAAGAAAAGCAAATATATATATATATATATATAACCTGACTTTTTATCTCAAAATTGAAATCATAATATCAAAATTATACTCAGCTTCAAAATCACGCTACATAAATTAAAATTTACTTTTCCAATGAAAAATTGACGTGTTTGTGTGTATCTCAAAATTGAAATCATAATATCAGATCTATGAACAGCTTCAAAATCATAATACAGAAATTAATATCAACTTATCCAATGTAAAATCGATGTGTGTGTGTGAAGAATTAAGCATAGCATTATGAATACATGAGTTGTTTCAATTCCTGACCCCCAGTGGTCAAATATATTCTTTCATCACTTGTAAGATTCACACACCTCCAAACTTATTCTTTTTGCTACTTTCAAGCATGTGAACTAAAGTTGAATTTTATACTATTATCACCTCTCTAATCTAGGTAAATCTCACTAATTACAAGTTAATATGTTAATAAGTAAAGATTCTCTATTAAGTTTGATTGATTTAATCTCTATGGCTTAATTAGGCTAACAATCTGTTATCAAAAGTCAAATTTTCTTAAACAAATGTTTGGGACATAACCAAAGTATTTGGTGCGTCTTCTGTTTCATGCACTTTTTTTTTATTTGCAGCATTCTCCCCCTTAAGATTTCTAATTAACTTTTGTAACAAGTTTTAGGTCGATAACTCCCAAATCAGTTGACTTTAGAGCAACAAGTTTTAACACCCCCTACAGGCTTAATAACTCGAATCATAAAGGTTACGAAAAGAAATTTCAAATAAAATATCTTTTTTTTAATGTTTTGATTAGTGCAATATCCCTCATTAAACACTTATCCAAGTAAAATGACATCTAACTTGAAATTTTCACCCAATTACATTTTATTGACCTTAGAAAATCTACACAAGATTTTTAATTTCACATATAGAATCCCCATTTATCTCAACATCTTCCTACAACAGAGAAATCCCCAAAACTATTATAAATTTGGTTTAAGGATGTAAAATTTACTGGTTTTGGATTTAACATCTATGGTCCACTTTTTCAACATGTTTAATTATGAAATCAACTCATTTCTACATAATGATTAACTTAATTCATATGCTCAATATATATCAAATTTCACATGAAAAAACAAAAATTAACTCAAGCATGCAACTTAATCACTATTCATAGATCAATTAACAATTCAATATATTTTTCATTGTCAATCACACCAACTAACTAATACAAACACACAAAAATAAAATACTTTTAAATTTTTTTAAAATTTTCAGTTTCAGTTTTTTTGATATCTAAACTAATGCAATAAAAGCACACAAAAATACATAAACATAATAATGACACAAACACAGACAAAAAAAACTCATGTTTTCCACCCACAAACTTAAATTAGACATTGTTATCAATGTTTTAAATCATAAATCCGCATATAAAGGGGTGGAGAAGAAAAAGACTCCCATAATATGGCTTGAAATCT